AGTTGGGGTGACGGACTTTCAAGGCTCCTGAAAAGGCTTTGCTGCTCCTTGTTGCCCACCATGTAGTGCCGCTTCTTGAGGTCGGCCTGGAGAGGGGAGGTCGGGGGCGGATGAAGAATAATGTTGAAGGGTGGAAGACAGATGAGTGCTCGCGCATTTACATAGCTGCGGAGCACTTGAGGTTGGCCTGGAGGGGGGTGATGGGGCGGAGGTGAGGTGAGGAGCAGGGGTGCAGGGCTTCTGAGACATCTGAAACGGCTTGGCGGCACTTTGTTGCCCCCCTGTAGTGCCACTTCTTGAGATTGGCCCGGAGGGGGAGGTGCGGAAAAGAGGGGAGGAAGAATTGGGTTGAAGGGTTGAGGGGAGATGACTGTATGGAGGGCAGTTTGCATGGTGACTATGCGGTCCTGGCTTGGCTCGGCTACATAAATATCAATTATGCAACCTGTAGCACTATATTTTAGGGCGTATTGAACTCACAATGGTGTACCAAGCTCCGGTCCCAAAGACCACATAGTCGGAGTATGGAAGCACAGGCGACCAATTAGGATGCACCTGGTCCAGATGCACCGTCCATGTGCTCGCCGTGGTCCTATCGCCCTGTTGAGGCAGAGGAGGGAGAGGGGAGAGTGGAGAGGGGAGAGTGGAGAGGGGAGAGTGGAGAGGGGTGAGTGGAGAGGGGAGAGTGGAGAGGGAGAGTGGAGAGGGGAGAGTGGAGAGGGGAGAGTGGAGAGGGGAGAGTGGAGAGGGGAGAGTGGAGAGGGGTGAGTGGAGAGGGGAGAGTGGAGAGGGGTGAGTGGAGAGGGGAGAGTGGAGAGGGGAGAGTGGAGAGGGGAGAGTGGAGAGGGGTGAGTGGAGAGGGGAGAATGGAGAGGGAGAGTGGAGAGGGGAGAGTGGAGAGGGGTGAGTGGAGAGGGGGAAGTGGAGAGGGGGAGAGTGGAGAGGGGTGAGGGGAAGGGAAGGTTGCAGAGGAGCATGGAGTGAGCAACAGGAGCAGTACAGGTGCACCGTCCACGGGCTGGCTGTGGTCCTATCACGCTGTGTGTGGAGAGGAGAGGGAGAGGGGAGAGGGAGGGGGGAGAGGGAGAGGGAGAGGGGAGAGGGGAGAGGGGAGAGGGAGAGGGGAGAGGGAAGAAGGAGAGGGGAGAGGGGAAAGGGAGAGGGGGAGGGGAGAGGGGAGATTGGAGGAGTCACAGGTACAGGATCACAGGGTTGAACACAGGGGAGGTAATGCGATCCAAATGCACCCGGGTCAGATGCGTCATCCTTGTGCTTGCAGTGGACTTGTTGCCCTGGTGAGGCAGATGGGAGGAGGCACCAGACAATAGGGTTGAGCAGCAGGTGGTATCCAGATGCGCCTGATCCAGATGCGCCTGATCCAGATGCGCCTGATCCAGATGTGCCTGATCCAGATGCGTTTGATCCAGATGCGCCTGATCCAGATGCGCCTGATCCAGATGCGCCTGATCCAGATGCGCCTGATCCAGATGCGTTTGATCCAGATGCGCCTGATCCAGATGCGTTTGATCCAGATGCGCCTGATCCAGATGCGCCTGATCCAGATGCGCCTGATCCAGATGCGCCTGATCCAGATGCGTTTGATCCAGATGCGCCTGATCCAGATGCGTCTGATCCAGATGCGCCTGATCCAGATGTGTTTGATCCAGATGCGCCTGATCCAGATGCGCCTGATCCAGATGCGTTTGATCCAGATGCACCTGATCCAGATGCGCCTGATCCAGATGCGTTTGATCCAGATGCGCCTGATCCAGATGCGCCTGATCCAGATGCGCCTGATCCAGGTGCGCCTGATCCAGATGCGTTTGATCCAGATGCGCCTGATCCAGATGCGTTTGATCCAGATGCGTCTGATCCAGATGCGCCTGATCCAGATGTGTTTGATCCAGATGCGCCTGACCCAGATGCGCCTGATCCAGATGCACCTGATCCAGATGCGCCTAATCCAGATGCACCTGATCCAGATGCACCTGATCCAGATGCGCCTGATCCAGATGCGCCTGATCTAGATGCACCGTCCAGGTGCTTGCAATGGCATTGGCTCAGAGCCTTGGTTGCAAGAGGGAAGGGAGAGCACGCAGGACGATATGTTAGACTAAAAGATGCCACCATGACGCGAGTAGTGATTCATATTTGCGAGTAAAACTGAACGAGAAAAGGCAAGGCGTGAAAGCTGACTCAACTCGACTCGACTCACGAGAGCCGTTACACTTGGACAAGAATCGAATGCGAGTCAAGTACTGTGTTGCTCACTTTCAGCTATACATGTCAACATGGCTTGCCTGGCAACATGGCTTGCCTGGCAGCATGGCTTCCCTGGCAGCATGGCTTGCCTGGCAGCATGGCTTGCTTGGCAGCACCTAAGGCTTACACTGAGAATAGATGGGTCGAGGAACAAGGAGGCATGTTCTAAGATGCATCATAAGTCGAATACGGTGCATATCACTCTCAGGTAAACATGGCAGGATAGGCTGGCAGCAGCGGGGGCTTACTCTGGGAATAAACTGGACGAGGAGGGAGGAGTCGTGTTTTGAGATTTAACAAAGGTTGAATACGGTGCGCCTCACTACCAGGTACACATGGCAGAATGGATTGACAGCAGCAGAGGCTTACACTGGGAGTAGATTGGACGAGGAAGGAGGAGGCGTGGCTTAGGAAGGTGGCATTGAATTGCGGTGCAATCAAGGCGCGAGTTCTTGGCCCTCCTGGGAACAGCGGGCCATCCCTGCTCTGTCCATGGGGGTTGGGAGGGCAGGCGGGTAAAACCAGGACGAGTGTGGAGGAAGGGAAGTGAGCATTGAGGTGTGGTGCAATCACAGCATAAGTGTTTGGTCCTCCTGAGAACAGCGGGCCATCCCTGGACGGGTTGGGAGGGCAGGCAGGTAGAAATATGAGTGTGGAGGAAGGGAAGGTTGCATGAACAGGGGCTGGGAGGGCAAGGGGTGCGGGTATGGGGGCAACGGGGGTTGGGAGGGGAAGGGGTGAGGGTAAGGGGCCAAGGGGGTTTGGGAGAAGAAGAGGTGAGGTTACTGGGCCAACAGGTTTGGGAGGGCAAAGGTGAAAGGAGGGAAGGGGACGTGTCGAGGCAGGGAAGCCTTGAAAATCTGGTGGAAAAAATACAAGGAAGAAACCAGATGCATTCTGCTTTGCAGGCGTTTTTCTGGAAGGCAGATGCGTTGAACCTTGACAGTGTAAGGTCGCATTCCGGGTTGTTACGAACAACCTACTTCGTAACAAGCAACCACATGACGACGCTTCACGACTGTTGATGATCCTTTACTCGCCAATCAGTGTTCTTGATTCTCACCAAACTTGTTTGAAAGTCATTTTTTTACGAGTCCGGTATGCGACCTAACACACGTGTTGGAGTGGCTGTCTGGATGAGGCACTGAAGAGTGGCAAGAGCTTCATGAAGAGACGCAACTAATATCGCCACGCAGGAAGGCTGATACAATGAATTTGGACAGTGTAACACACCTTGGTCGGAGTGGCTGTCTCGAGGAGGCACTGTAGGGCTCCAAAGAAATTCATGGAGACAGAATCCCCCACGACCAGAAACACCTTGTTGCGCATGTGCTCCAGGAAGGCAGATGCATCGAACCTGGACATGGGGCAATGCAGAAGATGCACCGAAAGGTTCAGGATAATTGGTGCGTTTTGTGGGATATCATATATGCCAGTCATGTTGCAGGTATGTGAAAGCATGAGACCCGTTGCACTCACAAGCATGTTGTGCAATGTGCAGCTGGTCACGGGCACAGACCTCTTACTACATCAAAAGCTCAAGCCATGCCTCTCTCTCAAAGGCTGCGGCCTAAAACGTCGCAAGCATACTGTGCAGCGGAGCACAGCACCCTTAACCATTTGCCTCTGGCTCTCACAAGCCCTCGTACACACCTCTCAATGCAGCATCCGAGGTTGCGCCACTGGTACTGCAGGTACCTCAAGGCATGAGGCCTGAACCTCACACACACGTTGGTACCGGCAGGTACCTCTCACAATCCATATGGTACCTCTCAGAACCCATACGGTACCTCTCACAACCCATACGGAACCTTTCACAACCCATACGCACCTCTCAATGCGGCAGCCAGGGCTGCGGCCACTCGTACTGCAGGTACCGCATGTTGACACGCCCGTTGCGCTGGCAGTTGAACGCCCGACTCAGGCTCTTGCAGCTCTCGCCTGTGTACTGTGGCTGGCGGACGGGTTTGCCACCAGCTGGTGGCGTGGGAGGGCAGGGGAAACAGGAGGGTGAAGCAGGATTAGGCTCCTGCTACTCTCACCCATGCATTGCGGATGGAGTAACGGGGTAGCGCCCGGCTGTTGTCACAGGGTTGGGTATGATATGAAACAACGGTACTCGTGCTTTTGTCACATGCATAGGTATGCATTAAGATTCGGCTCCTGCAGCTCTAGCCTGACATAACATGCAGGTCGCATGTGTGTATTTGTCACCTGACATAACATGCACGTCGCGTGTGTGTTTGTCATCTGACGTAACATGCAGGTCGCATGTGTGTATTTGTCACCTGACATAACATGCACGTCGCGTGTGTGTTTGTCATCTGACGTAACATGCAGGTGGCATGTGTGTATTTGTCACCTGACATACCATGCACGTCGCGTGTGTGCATTTGCCACCTGACATAACATGCAGGTCGCATCTGCGATTTGTCACCTGACATACCATGCACGTCGCATTGCGTGTATTTGTCACCTGACATACCATGCAGGTTGCGTGTGTGCATTTCCAACAGGTTGCGTGTGTGCATTTCCAACAGGTTGCGTGTGTGCATTTCCAACAGGTTGCGTGTGTGCATTTCACCAGCAGACGTTCCATGCGGTTCACAACGCGATGTGTACATTTGCCGACTGACGCACCTTCCAACGGATAGATCGCAAGTGGTAGATGGCGAAACCGCGGTTTCGCGTTCTGGCTTAGGCTCAAACGGTTTCTTTGGTTCGGATTTGCTGCTCCGGCGTTGGTTGGGGACCCTCTGCAAGCTCGGCTTGGCTTACAGCAGCAGATGGCGCAGATTCCGTTTGCGTTTAGCGTTTCCGTCGTCTCTTCTGTTCCGAGATTCAGAACGTCAGGTTTTGAGAGCGAGGATGTGAAGAAATAGAGCGACGACGACCAATATGAGAACAAGCGACGCGAAAAGAAGGCGTTGCTTGGTGCGCTTCCAGTCTGCTACACACGCGGTTGGCGGCGGAATCTCAGGAGAAGACATGCTGTCCTTGAAAAAACGAACGACGGATTCGTTAGATAGACCTACACGGCATGTGCTGAGACTACATTCTCCGAACGCTGCATTGCCTGCAGATTATCCGAAAGTAGTCGCACGGACGGGTCATGCGAAGCTGGCAGCGAAATCGAATCTATGCAAAAGGGCTCAGGGATGTGCGAGGCGTTCTGTAACCTATGAAGTCAATGTTTGGGCTTGCTTGACTTGTGTCTCAGCACAGCACCAATATGACTCGCACAGCAAGGCACGGCACGCCAACGGATCATCCCAGTAGCGCCCAAGCCCGACTGACAACACCCTGCCGCGCGAATCATCGCATGGTTTGGAATCGAGAGATCGAGACTCAAGAGAGCATCTTCACCGCTCATATCTTCACCGCTCATATCATCATCCAGATTCCAGTCATCGAGCCAAGGTCGCCCCCGAAATTTCGTTTTCCCGATATTAGCTACTCATCGTATCATGTACGGAGATGCACAATTGGGTTCGAATGAAATTGCCTGGTCCATCCTACAAGCCTCCGTTAGGAATATTGGTTTAAGTTAAAGTTTAAGTTTTATAAAGGTCGTGACCAGGGCAAATTTTTGGATTTAGCCTACCCTTAAGATCAGTGTGGCACAGGCTCAAAAAACCTGATTATCAATGTGACTCCTTGTGAAAAAAACTTTCCCATCAGGGTTTTCCCCGTTTTGGAAAAATATATCTTGGCGCATCAGTGTTCATAAAAAACAAACCCTGTTCACTAGTTTTTATACTTGCACTCAATACAAAGAAACAGTAAGCCTGGCCAATGGTGGCCCAATGTGTGCCAGCACATGCGCTGTCAAGGCCGAAAATCAGGCTTCGACACTTGTCAATCGGGATTCCAGGGTTACGGGAAAGGGGGGGTGGGGGTACTGGGGGGCGAGGGGGGGGGGGGGGTGGGGTAGGGTACTCGTTTTAGGGTAAAACTCGTTATGGGATCCGGGAACCCTTATGCATCAGTGTGACATAAATGTAAACCCTGGTTCATCATGGTAAAACTAACTCCTAAAAAAATTACCCCGGGGCCATCAGTGTGACCCCCAAAAACCACCCTGATTATTAGGGTATCAGGGTGATTTACCCTGATAAAATTTCCCCTGGTCGTAACCCGTTACAAGGCATAGCACAAATATGGCTAAAGCAGCCAAAGCCCAACGAGCCTAAACCAACCAGAACTACTTGTAAGCAGGCCAACACACAAAAGCTTGTGTGGCTATACCCTGAAGTGAAGAAGCCATAACGAGTTTACAGTGAACGGACGGAGTCGTTAAGGCCCCGCGTCCAAATTGCGGACAACGAGGGTCAAGTTCAGGGCCAAAATTGGTTTAGGCCTACTCTTGCAAATCAGGGTACCAGGCTCTCCTAGAACAGACCCCTAGGGTAGAATTTTCCGTAGCCTGATTTCAGCAGGGTAACTCTGGCACTAGGCTGAATTGAGCAGGGTATTTTCGGGCCAATTCTGTTTTGGTTACAGTTTTGTGAGCTACGGTTTTAATAAAATCAGAAATAAAGTAATACACCCAAAGTCCATTCACTCTAACAACAGTCATGCATGAAGTACACACCTACTCAGTGCCACCCCCACTGCCTACATCTTCTACAAATAGTGTCTGTGAAGCTCTCGTGGGGTCGAACTCCCTGGTGGATCGCCTCAGCCTCTCTCCACGAAAGATAGCGACCACCTCAAACCAGTCGACATCGTACCGCAGCAGGGAGCAACGCATCAGATGCTCCAGGCTTGTGCCGCCAAGGCTGCCACGGCCCCACGTCTTGATCAGATTCTGCTTCGAGAAGCCACGCTCGCATTCAACCGTGCTCAATGGCAGCACGGCCACTGACTGCCACATCCGCATGATGTTGGGGAAGGAGACACGCCATGCAGCATCCCGCAGCATATTCGTCAGCGCCTGATGGAATTCCTCGTTGTTTTGTTGGGCGAACATTGTGGATGTAAACATCCACAGCTCCTGCTGGGCTCTCTTGTAGTCGAACCCTGTGGTGGGGCGGAGTGCGGGTGAAAGCTAAGCCGATGCTCGCACACACGGTGTAGGGGTGGGGGGCATTAGTCCAACAGGCCACAGTATGCAGGATGTTCAATGGTTAACCTAATGTCAGGCATGAAAGTGACAACAAACATCAGAAACATGTGCAAGCGCTACAGAAGGCTTACCAGGCAGCTTGTGGTGGTATAACTTGTGCAGTTGGCCGAGCCACTTCTTGAACGTTTCCAGTCGCTTCGTGTCGTCGGACACGTACGAGGCTGTGAGAAAGAACTTCGAGCCTTCCAGGAGCTCCAGGTCGCGCATCCGCCATTCCAGCTCCTTATCAATGGCGCGCACGTACTTGATCGACAGCTCAACGCACGCAGTGACATCGCCTTCCGTCTCGTGTCCAGGCAGCGGGCGCTCGTGCAGCGTGAACTCAAACGTGACGGGATTCCCTTCCCCATCTACGACTTTCGCCTTCATCTCGCGCTTGTCCTTTGCCCCGTGCCTCTGAATGAACTCGGGAAGCTGCATTTTCTCGCCGCTGCCGAAATGGTGTACAGGGTCGCGGAGGGAATACCGCGTCTTCAAACACATCCTTGTCTGCTGCACGATGTGCGCAACAAGGGTTACGTCCACCTGCACAAGGGGATCGCACCGACTTAGTTAGTACACGTGCTTGCAAGCGACAACAAAAATGCCAGCAACAAAGACGCTTACCTGGCGCTGCTGGAATCGCATGTTAAGGCTGTTCAGTTCCCAAAGCACATCCGCAAGAAAGCGGATGAGCCAGTGGAACTTGAACAAGGTCATCAACCTCGTAGAGATCCGCCCTTGTTATCCTTCATCACCACAATGGCCGCTGGGAGCACGTCTAGCAAGGCGCTGTACCGCTTCACCGCGGGCGAGCCATCGTGTGTCGCTAATCCCTGCGCCTCGAGATTCGTCTGGCAGAAAATCCGCTGCATCTCTTGAAACTTTGCGTAGTCTACGCTGCTGCGGCCGATGTGGTCAGCGAAGGCGCGCACGACGTCGTCGATCATTAGCAGGTCAGGTACCTCTTCTGCAGCATCACTGGCAGCGAGTGCCTCCCTGTACATACAGGAAACAGGACCATATTGTTAGTCAGCGTGAGCAGTTGGTAAGCGAAGCAGCACGGAGCACACTACGGTGATGCTTACCGATGCGGCGATACAGTGTGTTGAAGCCAGATGCGGAATACGCATGCGAAGACGTGTCACGGACTCCTCGGTTCTTGCCGACCATGACGCTGGCACCATCGGATGCGACGCTGGATATCTTCTGGAGATCCAGCCCGATACCTGTCAGATACTGCACAACAGCGGATGTGAGTGAGGCACCATCACAACGGTCAACAGTAACCAGAGTCAAGAACTTTGTAACCACAGTGGTGTGCTGGAAGAACGTGGCGTATAGAATGAGGTGTTTCCTGTCGAGAGTAATAGGTAAGTTAAGAGGTGGGGCCTAGGCTTAGTAGCCTAGGCCCGAACTTAGGTATCGAACGGGATTTTCACCTAGGGGAGAGTATCGAGTGAGTTGAGAGAAGTTGGGAGAATGTGTGGCTTCACTATAGTTTTGAAGTACATATAGCAAAGGAAACACATAAGGTGCACCACCAATACAAAGTTTAAATAACTACACTAACTACAGCTACAGGCAGTTACAAATATAAGTTGACACTCCCCCATAACTGCCTGCAGCAGGAGTATGTGCAGAATGCAACCTGCAGGTGTACACATGCAAAATAAAAGGTAAGCAACAGCAGGTAATGCAGGCGGGCTGAAACTAAG